GAGGCTTCTTTTCCTGGAAAAGGGGTGGACATTATCCATTGTTTACACATTGTAGATGTTGGGGTGTGTAAAAAATCAGTTGGTAAGAGTGTTAACTGAAAATGCACAGCAGGAAGCTGATTGGCTGGGCTACATCTGAGAGGCTAGCTGAGCCTGGGACTTTTGGCAACAGTTACATTTTTAGGTTTGGGCTGCGCAGAGAAAAGAGAGTTTTGAGTTCTTGAGACCATTTGAATCTCTCTCAAAGGACATTGTGTGAGTCAGTGCAACTGTTCAGGGCCTTCTCTGTGGTGGCCCCCCGCCTCTGGAATGCCCTCCCGAAAGATCTCAGACAGGCCCCTACTTTGGCGGTTTTCAGAAAGAACCTGAAAACCTGGCTGTTCCAACGTGCCTTCTCAAATTAGGAACCCCACTACCAAAGCCCAGAAGCACTTTAGTAGAGTCAAGATCACCCTCACCGCACACTGCACCTATATTTTAATCCCATATCCCTCGTTCTTTACTGAAGTAGCATATTTTCTGTGTCTGGCAATACAGTGTGTGGACTGATGAAAGCATGAACTAGGTGTGATTTTCATTCCGCCACACCCGAGACTTGACTTTCTCTCTTTGTTTCCTTTTCCTAACTGAAAATGCAAAGCGGGAAGCTGATTGGTTGGAGGCTAGCTGAGCCTGGGACTTTTGGCAACAGTTACATTTTTAAGTTTGGGCTCTGCAGAAGATAGAGTGTGTGGAGAGATTTGAGATCTTGCTTCATGAGCTACTGGAAGGACATCTTCCACATGGACACCTAAAGACTGTTCACATGCAACTGTACACATAACAGTATATATGTTGCTCTGCATTACGAAGAGTAAACTTGTTCATTACTGATCATCTGCATGGCATATTTTCTTTCTCTGGCAAGACAGTGTGTGGAATGATCAAAGGTGTGATTTTCATTCCACCCCAGCACAGACTTGACTTTCCCTCTTTGTTTCCCTTTCCTGCACCAAGGGTCATCCTGAGCGTCATGTACCTGATGGTGGAGACCCTGCGCCGGGAGACGGACACTGACCCTCCAAAGTGGGCGGCCGCCCGGGAGACCTTTCGCACCGAGCTCAGTGAGGCTTGAGACCTATATTTCCCATTGAAGATGGATTTGTTTATGGGGCGGTTTCCTCTTTGGAGGGATGTCTATAGCAGGCGGGGGCCAACTTTGTGTAGTTTCCCATGAGAATGTCCCTGACGGGTGTGGGAATGATGGTGTACTCCCTTGTATTGCTACCAGAGAGTTCCCAGGATTTGGGGCTTGAAAACAACTCTGCACCTGCAGAAGTTAATGAGCAAATAGACAGACGGCAGGGGATTAGTCAAAACAGACAAGCCCGAACAGTGGCTTCGGCGCTCTGGCAGGCTCCGACAGAAAAAGATAAGGGAATCTCAATTAAAGCGAAAACAATTTCTGAGTGCTTGGGATAGCTTAAAAAGTCCCAAGTATAGAAAATGTAGCCAGATGAAGCATCGTTTGGAATCAGGTTCTCATCCTTGTTTCATGGAAGCCAAGCTTGGCAGATTCATGCTTAAATATTTCTTGTTTCGTGGTTCTGACTGTTGGACTTTATGATTGCATACTCTTGCGTTGAATTAATGTTTCCTGGTTTTCTGGATTATATTAGAGAAGCGTGGACTTTATTTTCATGGACTTTGCTGAACTTTACCCTGGATTATTTTGTCCCTGCTTCTCTTATTACCCAATTGGATTTACCTATTTCTTTAAACTGCTTTTTTACTTTGCTGCTTTTTAATTATCTCCAATAAAAGGATTGTTTTCCTATTCAACGTGTGGTGTTTTAAAGTCAGAGGGCTTCTTCTGTCCTGGAGTGCAACATTTCCTCCTTGACAGATGCACCTATCTTTTGGGCTGCTTAGGTCAACAACAAGCTAGACTATTAATGGTTGGGAGCTCACTCCAACCCGGTCCGTAGTGATTTAATGCAGCTTATTTATTATTTACAGTTTTCTGGATTATATTAGAGAAGTGTGGACTTTGTTTTCATGGACTTTGCTGAACTTTACCCTGGATTATTTTGTTTCTGCTTATCTTCTTACCTAATTGGATTTACCTATTTCTTTAAAGTGCTTTTTTACTTTGCTGCTTTTTAATTATCTCCAATAAAAGGATTGTTTTCCTATTCAACGTATGGTGTTTTAAAGTCAGAGGGCTTTTCCTGTCCTGGAGTGCGACATTTCCTACTTGACAGATGCACCTATCTTTTGGGCTGCTTAGGTCAACAGCAAGCTAGACTATTAATGGTTGGGAGCTTACTCCGACCTGGGCTGGCTTCGAACTCACAACCTCTCAGTCAGTAGTGATTTAATGCAGCTTAATTATTATTTACAGTATTTATATTCTGCCCTTCTCACCCCACAGGGGACTCAGGGCGGATCACAATGCACATATACATGGCAAACATTCAATGCCATAGAAACACGCAACATATATAGACAGACAGACGCACATGCGATTTATTTAACTTTCCAGCTTCATGAGGGTATGGTTTTTGAATTTCGGCCACCGGGGGAGCTGTCGCTTCAGCATCCACTTGTGACACCAATGGAGTACTTCCTCATTCTTTTGCATGCTGCTGGAGAGTTTTATGGCATCGTAAATTAGTTAAATTAGTGGTATCCAAGTTTCGTACTTGACAGATGCAACTGTTTTTCGGGCTGTAAAGGTCGACAGCAAGCTAGATAAACAGTCGGGAGCTCCCTGTTTACTCGCACCTGCAAAAAATGGGGAAGATACAGAAGCATACCTTGCAGGGACGTTGTGAAGAACATGGCATAAGGACCTTCCTGATGTTTGGTTTCTTTTTGCAGGCTCTCCGTTGCACGGCGAGGAGCCCTTTGCCCTGCTGCTCTTCACAATGGTGACCAAGTTCTGCAGCGGACACGCTCCACACTTTCCCATGAAGAAGGTCCTGCTCCTGCTCTGGAAGGTCCTCGTGGTGAGCAAATGCAAACACACTTGGTTGTTGAAGGCTTTCGTAGCCAGAATCATTGGGTTGCTGTGAGTTTTTCGGGCTGTATGGCCATGTTTTCGAAGCATTCTCTCCTGACGTTTCGCCTGCATCTGTGGCAGGCATCCTCAGAGGTTGTGAGGTCTGTTGGAAACGAGGCAAGTGATGTTTAGATATCTGTGGAATGATGTCCTGGGTGGGAGAAGAATTCTCTATACTAGGCATGGGCAAACTTGGGCCCTCCTTCCAGGTGTTTTGGACTTCAACTCCCACAATTCCTAACAGCCGGTAGGCTGTTAGGAATTGTGGGAGTTGAAGTCCGAAACACCTGGAAGGAGGGCCCAAGTTTGCCCATGCCTGGCTTAGAATATATTTCTTACCAATTTGATTTAGTAATGATATTTAATGCTGTTTCAATATTTGTATACTTGTATATTCGAAATTGTATGCTGATGTTTTTGTGTTTAATGCCACTTTGAGTCTTCTGTGGGAGAGATAAAGCAGGGTGATAATAATAATAATAATAATAATAATAATAATAATAATAATTTCCTTTCATCCTTCCTTTCAATTATTTTCTTCCTTTCTTTCATCCTTTCCCTTTCTTCCTTTTGTCCTTTCTTTCTCCGTCTTTCTTCCAATCTTTCATCTTTCCTTCTTACTTTCTTTCTTCCCCCCTTTCTTCTATAATCCTTTCTTCCTTTCGTTCTTTTGTCCTTTCTTCCTTCCGTTCTATATTCCTTCCTTCCTTTTGTCCTTCTCTCTTTCTTTCTTTCTTTCTTCCTTTAATTTTTTCTTCCAATCTTTCATCCCTCTTCCTGCCTTTCCTCCTTCCTTTCTTCCAATAATTTTTCCTTTCTTCCTGTTGTTCTTTTGTCCTTTCTTCCTTTATCCTTTCATCCTTCCTTCCTTTCTTTTGTCCTTCCTTTCATCCCTCCTTCTTTCCTTTCTTTCTTTCCTTTCCTTTTCTTTCCATCTTCTCCTTCCTTCCTCTCCATCTCTTTCTTTCCTTCCTTCCCTCTCTTTCTCTCTCCCTTATTCCATCTTCCTCCCTCCCTCCCTCCCTCCCTCCCTTCCTTCCTTCCTTTGTCCTTCCTTCCTTTTGTCCTTCCTTTCAACTCCCCTTCTTTCCTTTCCTTTCCTTCCTCCTTTCCTTCCTTTCTCCTTTCATCATTCCTTCCTTTTGTCCTTCCTTTCATCCCTCCTTCTATATTTTCATTTCCTTTCTCTTCCTTTCCATCTTCTCCTTCCTTCCTCTCCTCTCTTTCTTTCCTTCCTTCCCTCTCTTTTTCTCTCCCTCCTTCCATCTTCTTTTTTCCTTTCTTCTTTCCTTTCCCTTTTTCCTACTTCCTTCCTTCCTTCCCTTCTTTCTTTTCTTTCCTTCTTTCCTTTCCTTTCCTTTCCTCCTCCTTTCCTTCTTTTCCTTTATCTTCCTTCCTTTTGTCCTTCCTTTTCCTTCCTTTCTTTCATCCCTCCTTCTATACTTTCCTTTCATTTCCTTTCTCTTCCTTTCCATCTTCTTCCTTCCTCTCCATCTCTCTCTTTCTGTCCTTCCCTCTCTTTTTCTCTCCCTCCTTCCATCTTTTCTTTCCTTCCTTTCTCTTCCTTTCCATCTCTTCCTTTCTTCTTTCCCTCCTTCCTTTCAATCTTCTTCCTTCCTTTGTCCTTCCTTCCTCTTCCCTTCTTTCTTTCCTTCCTTCCTTCCTTCCTTCTTCCTTCCTTCTCCCTCCCTCCTTCCTTTTTCTCATCTTTCCTTCTTTTTCCTCCTTCCTTCATCCTTCCTTCCTTTCATCCCTCTTCTTCCTCTTCCTTCCTTTCCTTCTTTTTCCTTCCTTTCTTTTCCCTTTCTTCCTTTTCTTTCTTTCTTCCTTCCTTCCTCCTTTTTCCTTTCTCCCTCCTTCTTCCTTTCTTCCTTCCTTCCTTCCTTCCTTCTTTCCTTCCTTCTCCTTTCTCCCTCCTTCTTCTTTTTTCTTCTTTTCCTTCTTCTTCTCTTCCTTTCTTTCATCCCTCCTTCTTTCCTTTTCCTTCCTTCCTCCAGTTCACCCTGGGGGGCTTTGAGGCCTTGCAAGCCCTGAAGGTCCAGCGGCGCCTTGAGCTGGGCTTGGCTCCTCTGCCGGAGGACAGCATCCAGGTGGTGCGACGCATGCGGGCCGCTTCTCCCCCGGCATGCGCCATCGAGCTGGTGGAACAACAGCAACAGCAACAAGTTGCACCTCCAAAGCGAGGGCATCGCAGCCGGAGGGTAAGAGAATGCGAAATTGGGACAACTTTGGCCCTCCGATGTTTTGGACTTCAACTCCCACAATTCCTAACAGCTGGTAGGGGCTGCCACGTCACAGTCCACTTGTGACACCGAGTCCTTGATAAGAGTACTTCCTCATTCTTACGCACACTGCTAGAAGGTTTTATGGTGTCGTAAATTAGTTAAATTAGCTCCCTGCATAAAATGGTACCTACATTTCCTACTTGACAGATGCAACTGTCTTTTGGGCTGCATAGGTCAACAGCAAGCTAGACTATTAATGGTGAGGAGCTCACTCCGACCCGGGCTGGCTTTAACTCATGACTTCTCGGTGAGTAGTGATTTAATGCAGCTGGCTACTAACTAGATGCGCCACGGCCCAGTCAATACAGTCCTTTGCAACATGTACCCAGGCCTGTGCTTTGATCTGCTGAACTGTTCCTGGGTTATCAATGTCATTTTCTAATTGGTTCTATCCCAAAAATGTGGGAAAAGTTGATTAAAGTGCAAGAACTTTGTTTTTGTGATGTGGGAGGGATATCATTCTGCAGCACACGTTTTCTTGTAATTTTTGCAAAGAGTATCTCAACCATTTCAATATATTTTCATGTAGGAAGGTTTCTGGAGCATAACAACTCCTGTTGCACCCCAGGACAGGAAAAGCCCTCTGACTTTAAACACCACACGTTGAATAGGAAAACAATCCTTTTATTGGAGATAATTAAAAAACAGCAAAGTAAAAAAGCAGTTTAAAGAAATAGGTAAATCCAATTATCCAAGAAGATAAGCAGGAACAAAATATTCCAGGGTAACGTTCAGCAAAGTCCATGAAAACAAAGTCCACACTACTCTAATATAATCCAGAAAACCAGGAAACATTAATCCAAGGCATGAGTATGTAGTCATAAAATCCAAGAATCAAAACCATGAAACAAGAAATACTTAAGCATGAAATGAAACAAGGACAAGAACTTAACTTGATTCCAAACGATGCTTCATCTGGCTACATTTTCCGTACTTGGGACTTTTATCCCCTCGTTAAGCTATCCCAAGCACTCAGAAATTGGTTTCACTTTAGTTGAGATTCCTGTCAGGGTGAAAATTCGGGGTGCTATGTGCAGCGGATGAGGTTACTAGATTACACAGACACAAATCAGGACACTGCAGTCTTTCAGTTTCAAAAATAACATAAAGTTTACTAAGTACATCTCAATACGCGTCTACTTCTAAGCGGGCAAAATCAGGAACTACAAAGCACAGCTTCAGTACAGTTTCAGAACATATGCTTATCAGGCTCTCTGGCTGTAAGCCGGATACTCCCTATTTCTTCCCAGCCAGGGAAACTCGTTATCTAACTTCTGTCAAGGTCTCTTCTCTCTCTTCCTCTCTGTCTCTTACAATTCCAACACATAATTGAACATAACAGAATCCATCTTGAATACATATGAACACCATTCTTAATCATATAGAAACACATTGAAAAAAACATACATGCATACCTTCAATAATCCTGACAATTCCCTTATCTTTTTCTGTCGGAGCCTGGCAGAACGCCGAAGTCACTGTTCAGCTTGTCTGTTTTGACTAATCTCCTGCCATCTATCTATTTGCTCATTAACTTCTGCAGGTGCCGAGTTGTTTTCAAGTCCCAAATCCTGGGAACTCTCTGGTAGCAATACAAGGAGTACACCATCATTCTCACACCCTGTCAGGGACATTCTCATGGGAAACTACACTTTGAACAGGGATCTCCTGTTCATTCTCTGAATCAATATCATTGACCAAGCTGTCTTCAGGAAAGGCAAAAGCTGCACATCGCAAGTGCTGAACCTGACTCAATACATAGAAGTTGGCTTTGAAAGGCAGCAGATCACAGGAGCTGTCTTCATAGACCTGTCAGCAGCCTATGATACTGTGAACCACCGCCTCCTCCCGAGAAAAAAGGATGACCACCTCACCCGCCTCATAGGAATCCTGCTACAAAACAGGAGCTTTTTTGTTGAGTTCCAGGGCCAGAGAAGCAGATGGCGGAAACAGAAGAATGGCCTTCCTCAGGGGAGCGTGCTTGCTCCATCCATGTTCAACATCTACACAAATGACCAGCCACTGCCAGAAGGGACAGAGAGTTTCATCTATGCTGATGATCATGTCCAGGCAGGGAGTTTTGAGATGGTTGAACAGAAGCTCTCCGAAGCTCTAGGTGCCCTTACTGCCTATTACAGGGAAAACCAGCTGATCCCTAATCCATCTAAAACACAGACATGTGCTTTTCACCTTAAGAACAGACAAGCATCCCGAGCTCTGAGGATTACCTGGGAAGGAATCCCACTGGAGCATTGCAGCGCACCCAAATACCTGGGGTCACTCTGGACTGTGCTCTGACCTACAAGAAGCACTGCCTGAACATCAAGCAAAAAGTGGGCGCTAGAAACAATATCATACGAAAGCTGACTGGCACAACCTGGGGATCACAACCAGACACAGTGAAGACATCTGCCCTTGCGCTATGCTACTCTGCTGCTGAATATGCATGCCCAGTGTGGAACACATCTCACTATGCTAAAACAGTGGATGTGGCTCTTAATGAGACATGCCGCATTATCACGGGGTGTCTGCGCCCTACACCACTGGAGAAATTACACTAGCTGGTATTGCACCACCTGACATCCGCCGGGAAGTAGCAGCCAATAGTGAAAGGACCAAGGCAGAGACATCTCCAGCTCATCCCTTGTTTGGGTATCAGCCAGCACGTCAACGACTTAAATCAAGAAATAGTTTTCTAAGATCTACAGAGACACTCGCTGCAACACCTCAGCAAGCGAGAGTCCAAAAGTGGCAGGCTCAAACCCAGAACCTCAACCAATGGCTGATACCAAATGAGAGATTCCCCCCTGGGCACACAGAAGACTGGGCGACTTGGAAGGCGCTGAACAGACTGCGCTCTGGCACCACGAGATGCAGAGCCAACCTTCAGAAATGGGGCCACAAAGTGGAATCCACGATATGCGAGTGTGGAGAAGAGCAAACCACTGACCACCTGCTGCAATGCAACCTGAGCCCTGCCACATGCACAATGGAGGACCTTCTTGAAGCAACACCAGAAGCACTCCAAGGGGCCAGATACTGGTCAAAGGACATTAAATCAACTACCAAACTCGCAAATTTTGTATTCTGTCTGTTTGTCTTGTTCTGTTAGAAGTGTAATATAATTGACTGTTTGCCCTGACACGACAAATAAATAAAATATTGAAACTCGTCGTGAACCTCATTGTCATCACTCCCCACATCCAAAACACAACCACAGGCTCAACTCCAACAACTCCTTTCATTTAAACAAGAAATGACACTTTTGAACCAGGAACAGGACATTTTTCCAATGAATATCTCGTAGAGTCTTGACCGATTCGACATAGTTTCCGCCACAAAAGCTTAAGTTTCTGTAACAAGTTTTGTAGTTGGGGAATCAATGCCTATCTTTCTCCCTTCTTCCGAACGCAGCCGCTGGTGAAGCAGGACAGCCTCGACCTGTACAACGAGAGGGACCCCTTCAAGACGGCGTTGGAGGAGGAGGAGCCTGAGGAGGAGGCGGAGCCCGAAGATCTGGAGGGCGGGGCTCTGGGCCTCGTGGAGGGGGGGCTGGACCCCATGGAGGGGGAGCCCCCTCTCGCCCCGGCCCCCCCACCACAGCCGCCACGGACCCCCCTCGAGAGGGTCGCCTTCCCCCGAGGGCTCCCCTGGGCCCCCAAAGTCAGGTAGCGCCTCTCATTCATTGATCCATTGATTGATTGATTGATGGATTGGATTGGATTGGACTTGCATGGGGATACAGGCCATCCCCAAGTTACAAACATCCGACTTGCAAATGACTCACAGTTAAGACCGGAGCTGAGATAACAGGAAGTGAGAGGAATGCTATATATTAGTAGTAGTAGTAGTAGTAGTAGTATGTTGTATTATATTATTATTATTATTATTATTATTATTATTATTATTATTATTATTATTTTACTGACACAAAAACATAGTATGTCACAGCAAATGAGATATTCCCAAGTGTCTAGGACTGTGTGATTATTGATTATTATTATTGTTATTGATTATTATGATTATTATTATATACAGGCAGTCCACGAGTTACAAACATTCAGTTTGCAAACAACTCCCAGTTTAGAATGAGGCTGAGGCAACAGGAAGTCTTATATGTTATTAGTATTATTATATTGTACTATATATATCATACATACATATACATACACACAAACATACACATACAGCCTGACCTGCTTCTGCAATGCAGGAAAAGCACACTTCGATCCCTCCCGACAGATGGCCACCCAGCTTCGTAGAATTGCAACGGACCCCCAAAGGCTATCCAGTCTGACCCACTTCTGCAATGCAGGAGAAGCATGATCCGATCCCTCCCGACAGATAGCTATCCAGTCTCATAGAATTGCAAAGGACCCTCAAAGGCTATCCAGTCTGACCCACTTCTGCAATGCAGGAGAAGCATGATCCGATCCCTCCCGACAGATAGCTATCCAGTCTCATAGAATTGCAACGGACCCTCAAAGGCTATCCAGTCTGACCCACTTCTGCAATGCAGGAGAAGCACGATCCGATCCCTCCCGACAGATGGCCACCCAGCCTCATAGAATTGCAAAGGACTCGCAAAGGCTATCCAGTCTGACCCATTTCTGCAATGCAGGAGAAGCATGACCCGATCCCTCCCGAGAGATAGCTATCCAGTCTCATAGAATTGCAACGGACCCCCAAAGGCTATCCAGTCTGACCCATTTCTGCAATACAGGAGAAGCATGACCCGATCCCTCCCGAGAGATAGCCACCCAGCCTCATAGAATTGGAAGGGACCTTCAAGGGCTATTCAATCTGACCCGCTTCTGCAATGCATGAGAGGCAGAATCCAATCCCTCCTGACAGATAACCATCCAGCCTCATAGAATAGCAAAGGACCCTCAAGGGCTATCCAGTCTGACCCACTTCTGCAAAGCAGGAGAAGCACAATCTGATCCCTCCCAACAGATGGCCACCCAGTCTCATAGAATTTAAAGAGACCCCCAAAGGCCATGTAGTCCAACCCCCTTCTGCAATGCAGCACAGTCCGACCACTCCCGACAGATGGCCACCCAGCCTCATAGACTTGCAAGGGACCGCAAAGGCCATCCAGTCTGACCTTTTGCAATGCAGGAGAAGCACAATCCAATATTTCCCAACAGATGACCACCCAGCCTCATAGAATTGCAAGGGATCCCCAAAGCCATCCAATCTGACCACCTTCTGCAATGCAGGCGAAGCACGATCTGATCCCTCCCAATAGATGCCTGCTGTGCTGCTTTCTCCTCTTAACGCTCTGCTTCTCTTCCAGACAGAAGGACATCGAGCATTTCCTGGAAATGAGCCGGAACAAATTCATCGGCTTCACGCTTGGACAGTGAGTCTGGGGCTGCCCTTGCTTTGCCTTTGGAAAGAAGTGCTTTGGATCATAATAATAGTCATAATAAATACTAGAAACACAAGGGCATTACTTATGACTCTTTTCTCCTCCTCTTTTTCATCCAGGGACACGGACACTTTAGTGGGTTTGCCACGTCCCATCCACGAAAGCGTGAAGACCCTGAAACAGGTGAAGCGGCTCTCGTTGGCGATGGTTACGATTTCCTTTCCTGGGGTGTAATGACTTAGAGTTTCCCCCTATCATAACACTTATGTTCCTGGGTTATCAATATCGTTTCCTAACTAAAAGCATGGGAAAAGTTTATTAAACTAATTAAAGTTTGTTATGACTTCCTAAACTTTTATTGTGCTTGTCATCCACGATTCCCTGCAATAGGCATCGAAACACTCCCCAAAATTCCCACGTAATTATTGATGGCAGGTCAACAACAACAATAATAATAGTAATAATCATCCTGGAAAATTAAACCTGCAAAAGTAGAAGTTAAGCTGCATAGACTTGAAAGAGACCCCCAAGGATCATCCAGCCCAACCCTTTACTTCTATAAAGGAAGACACAATCAAAGCCTTCCCAACAAATGGCCATCTAGACCAGGGGTCCTCAAACTAAGGCTCGGGGGCCTCGCTCAGGGTCAACCTATGTCTGTAATTTATTTATTTATCGTGTCAGGAACAAGCCAAACAGTTGTATTGCATTTTTAACAAACAAACAAAACACAAAGTTTGCAAACTTGGCATTGTATTAAATGTCCTTTGACCAGTATCTGGCCCCTTGGAGTGCCTCTGGCGTTGCTGCAAGAAGGCCCTCCATCGTGCATGTGGCAGGGCTCAGGTTGCATTGCAGCAGGTGGTCAGTGGTTTGCTCTTCTCCACACTCGCATGTCGTGGACTCCACTTTGTGGCCCCATTTCATAAGGTTGGCTCTGCATCTCGTGGTGCCAGAGCGCAGTCTGTTCAGCGCCCTCCACGTCACTCACTTTTCTGTGTGCCCAGGGAGTCTCTCATTTGGTCTCAGCCATTGATTGAGGTTCTGGGTTTCAGCCTGCCACTTTTGGACTCTCGCTTGCTGGGGTGTTCCAGCGAGTGTCTCTGTAGATCTTAGAAAACTATTTCTAAGTCTGTAATGACTCGAAAACACATAACAACAACAATCCTTTCTCATTAGCCAAAAGCAGGCCCACACTTCCCATTGAAATACTAATAAATTTATATTTGTTAAAATTGTTCTTCATTATAATTATTGTATTGTTTTTAAGTGTTTTGCACTACAAATAAGATATGTGCAGTGTGCACAGGAATTCATTCATGTATTTTTCAAATTATAATCCGGCCCTCCCACAGTTTGAGGGACTGTGACCTGGCCCTCTGTTTACAAAGTTTGAGGAACCTTGATCTAGACTGTATAGGAAAACCTCTACTACAAATCCTGGGATTCCTTTGTTTACCTTTTAAGCCCATGAGGGTCCTTGATACGGATTTTGCATCATTCCCAAAAGGAAATTTATTTGGGGAAGAGTTCCTTACTTCTTGTTTGTGTTTTCCGTCCTCAGCACAAGTACGTCTCCATCGCGGAAGTGCAGATCAAGAGCGAAGAGGAGATGGAGAAATGCCCCATGTCGCTGGTGAGCATCCCTTCGGCAGATGGGACTTGGAGTCCTTTATTTTTGCAAACTGGAACAGGAAGGGAGGGGTTAATTGATACAGCGTGGAGGTGCGGATAGGGGTTCTGCAGATGATGATGATGATAATAATAATAATAATGATAATGATAATGATACATCTCATCCTCAAGTGCAGCCAGGTGCAACTCTGGATATGGGTTCTGTAGGTGGTTACGATCATGATGATGATTGCATTCCTCGTTCTTAAAAGTATGGATGTGGGTTTGGCAGTAAGACATTATTATTGTTACTTCTCAACCTCAAGTACAGCCAAATGAAATGATGGATACGGATTCTGGAGATTGTTGTTATTGTTTTTATTATTATTTCTCATTTTTCAAGGACAACCAAGTGCAACTATGGATATGGGTTCTGCAGTAAGTAGTAATAGTAATAATAATAATGTTATTTACTATTATTATTATTATTATTTATTGCTGAACACATATCCAGTTGCACTTGGCTGTGCCTGAAAAACGATAACAACAACAGAACCCATATTCATAGCTTCACTTCACTGTACTAGATGAATGAGAAATGCTATAATAATAATAATAATAATAATTATTATTATTATTATTATTATTATTATTATTATTATTATTTACTGCAGAACCCACCTCCATAGTTTCACTGGGGAATGAGAAATAAAATTACTATTATTATTATTATTATTATTATTATTATTATTATTTATTGCTGAACACATATCCACAGTTGCATTTGGCTGGACCTGAAGAACAACAATAATAATAATAACAGAACCCATATTCATAGCTTCACTTGGTTGTACTCGAAGAATGAGAAATGCTATTATTATTATTATTATTATTATTTACTGCAGAACCCACCTCCATAGTTTCACTGGGGAATGAGAAATAAAATTACTATTATTATTATTATTATTATTATTATTATTATTATTATTATTATTATTATTTATTGCTGAACACATATCCACAGTTGCATTTGGCTGGACCTGAAGAACAACAATAATAATAATAACAGAACCCATATTCATAGCTTCACTTGGCTGTACTCGAAGAATGAGAAATGCTATTATTATTATTATTATTATTATTATTATTATTATTTACTGCAGAACCCACATCCATAGTTTCACTGGGGAATGAGAAATAAAATTACTATTATTATCATTATTATTATTATTATTATTATTATTATTATTATTATTATTTATTGCTGAACACATATCCACAGTTGCATTTGGCTGGACCTGAAGAACAACAATAATAATAATAACAGAACCCATATTCATAGCTTCACTTGGTTGTACTCGAAGAATGAGAAATGCTATTATTATTATTATTATTATTATTATTATTATTATTATTATTATTATTTATTGCTGAACACATATCCTCAATTGCACTTGACTGGACCTGAACAACAACAACAACAATAATAATAACAACAACAACAGAACCCATATTCATAGCTTCACTTCGCTGTACTTGAAGAATGAAACTATGGAGGTGGGTTCTGCAGTAAATAATAATAATAATAATAATAATAATAATAATAATTGCATTTCTCATTCTTCAAATACAGCGAAGTGAAGCTATGAATATGGGTTCTGTTGTTATTGTTATCGTTCTTCAGGTACAGCCAAGTGCAACTGTGGATATGTGTTCTGCAATAAATAATAATAGTAATAGTAATAATAGTAATTTTATTTTTCATCCTTCAGTGAAACTATGGAGGTGGGTTCTGCAGTAAATAATAATAATAATAATAATAATAATAATAATAATAATAGCATTTCTCATTCTTCAAGTACAGCCAAGTGAAATGATGCATATGGGTCTGCAGTTAATAATAATAATAATAATAATAATAATAATAATAATAATAATAATAATTGTGTTCCTCATTCTTCAAGTACAGTCATGTGAAATTTATAGATACGGGTTCTGCCAAAATAATAATAACTTCTCACCCAGTTCTGCTCAAGGTGGGACACAACATAGTTAAAACCACATCATCATAAAATATTCAGTAAAATAGATAAAGTACTATAAAATACAGATCTCAAAATACACAAAACGGCGCTTAAAATACAGCAGGAGCAGGACGGGACTTCTACATGAAGCCGCTGGGGGAGATCATCCGGAGTTTCGGGGTACGGTGTCATCTATACGCGGATGATGTCCAACTCTGTCACTCCTTTCCACCTGCTACTAAGGAGGCTGTCCAGGTCCTGAACCGGTGCTTGGCCGCTGTAACGGTCTGGATGAGGGCGAACAAATTGAAATTGAATCCAGACAAGACAGAGGTACTCCTGGTCAGTCGCAAGGCCGAACAGGGCATAGGGTCACAGCCTGTGTTGGATGGGGCCGCACTCCCCCTGAAGACGCAGGTTCGCAGCTTGGGTGTGACCCTGGACTCATCGCTGAGCCTGGAACCCCAGGTTTCGGCGTGACCAGGGGAGCATTTGCACAGCTAAAGCTTGTGCGCCAGCTGCGCCCGTACCTTGGGAAGTCTGACTTGGCCACGGTAGTCCACGCTCTGGTTACATCCCGTTAGACTACTGCAACGCTCTCTACGTGGGGTTGCCTTTGAAGACAGCTCGGAAGCTCCAACTAGTCCAACGCTCGGCAGCCATGATTTTAACAGGAGCGGAGCGCAGGGAGCATACAACCCCCCTGTTGCGCCAACTCCACTGGCTACCGATCTGCTACCGGGCTGAATTCAAAGTGCTGGCGTTGGTCTTTAAAGCCCTAAACGGTTCCGGCCCAAGCTACCTATCTGACCGCATCTCTGCCTATGAACCCACCAGGAGTTTGAGATCTTCCGGGGAGACCCTGCTCTCGATCCCGCCTGCTTCTCAAGCTCGGCTGGCGGGGACGAGAGATAGGGCCTTCTCGGTGGTGGCTCCTCGGCTGTGGAACGCCCTTCCTACGGACATTAGACTAGCACCATCTCTAATGGTATACCGCAAAAAGGTGAAGACCTGGATGTTTGTGCAGGCGTTTGAGTAATTTAGTACAATCTGGTAATGGAACATAGGAATGGAACAATGGACGACGAATCTGGACTACGCTTGGATGATGAGAAGATTGGGTACGGTTGTTTTTTGTAATAATTGTGCATTGTAATTGCTTATTGGTAATTTATGGATAATGTGTTAAGTCAATTGTTATATGTTGTATGGAACCACTGCTGTTTCTACTGTTTCTACTGTTTGTGAACCGCTGTGAGTCGCCTTCGGGCTTGAGATACAGCGGTATATAAGCAAAGTAAATAAATAAATAAATAACATCCATTCTTGAATATTGTAACGGAGTTTTGATGTTACTTTTGTGAGCCTGGGGAGTAAAACGCTTGGTTTTTGTTCTGCCTCCTGCCTGTACGAGAATAATGGAAATTTCTATTTCTTTCTATCAGGGGGAAGAAGATGTGCAGGAGACGCCATGCGAGACGCTCTACCGGATGATGCTCTACAACCTGCCTCAATACATGGTGAGCATTGCATTGCTTTGGATGGCATTGCATTACATGGAGGACTTGTTTATTCTTGAGTTGAAAACATGTTTCTGTGTATCTGTGTTTGTACACAGGTCCCCCTTGACCAACAGGAAAATACTGGAGGGTTTTTGGGAGGGAGGTGGACCTTGGATGCTGGGAGTTGTAGTTCACTTGCAATCAAAGAACACATAGCAAACTCATCCAATGATAGATTTGGACCGAACTTGACATGCAGACCCAACAGGACCAACTTTGAATACGGGTGGAGTTCGGGGGGACTTGATCCAGAATGATGGGAGTTGTAGTTCACCCATGTTGTTCTGCATTCATAAATCCATTATTACCTCTGATATTTAGCCTTATAAAAGACCTAACCCAGGCGTCATTGGGTATTTAAGCTAATACAAGCTGTCCCTAAGTTACAAACGAGAGGTTCTGCAGGTTTGTACTTAAATTGAATCTGTATGTAAGTCGGAACAGGTACATTTTTCAAGTGTAACTCCAGCCAAAAAATGTGTATGTGTGTGTGTGTAACATGTAGGTATGTGGTGGAGGCTCCTTCTTTGGAAGCTTTGAAACAGAGGCTGGATGTCCATCTGTCAGGGGTGATTTGAATGCAATATTCCTGCTTCTTGGCAGAATGGGGTTGGACTGGATGGCCCCCAAGGTCTCTTCCAACTCTAGGATTCTAGGATTTTATGTACATGTATATATATGTGTGTGTGTGTGTGTGTATATAATATCTATCTCCTGGATGAGAGTTGTCTACTATATCAGTGAAACACAAAGCATGATGGCTATTAGAGCAACAGCCTTCACTGCACGACATCCAAAACATCCAAAACACAACAAATTGCTGCAAAACCCACAAAAGCAGTGATGCTATTACAGTATGTAACAACATTTGTAAAAATGTTCTGTTCCTGGTTTGAAAGTGTTATTTCCTATTTAATTGTGCGGTCCTTCCTTTAGGAGGAGTTGTTCTACTCCAGAAATGTTGGGGTTTTTTGTGGCACAAACTATGTTGAATAGGTTGAGACTCTATGATGAGATATTTATGGAAAAACTAGAGCAAAATGTGCTATTTCACAAAGTTTTTGCAGTATAGTATAATAAACTATTTCCATGTTTTTATGATAGAACCAATTATGAAATGATATTGATAACTCAGGAACAGATTGCGTTACAGAGTATTATCTTAACAGAGGCTGGATGGCTACCTGTAGGAAATGCTTTGATTGTGTCTTCTTGCCTGGCAGAAGGGGGTTGAACTGGATGGTCTTTAGGGGTCCCTTACAGCTAGTCTATCTGTCTACTCTAAGTAATCTATCTTATCTATGTAGCCATGTATCTTATCAATCTATTATGGCAGAAGAGGGTTGGACTGTGTACAGAAGTTGATTGTAAATGATATGATTATAAACTGTATTGATTGTAAATGATATTATTATAACTGTATTTGTGTTTACACTGGTTGCCCTAATGCTGGAGCGGCCTAACTGTGAGGAGTGTGTTACCATGGAAACGATGCTAATGCTGGAGCGGCCTAGCTGTGAGGAGTGTGTTACCATGGAAACAATGCTGTAGAGAAGTGGGAGGAGCTTAGAGAGGGGAGTTTTGAAAAGCGACAGTTAAAAGTTAGTTAGGTTTTATGCTCAGAGGAATGAAGAGTTAGGTTTTATGCTCAGAGGAGTGAAGAGTCATGAAGAGTTAGGGTTTAGGCTCAGAAGAGTGCACAGTCATGAAGAGTCAGGGTTGAGGCTCAGAGGAATGAAGAGTTAGGTTTAGGCTCAGGGAAGTGAAGAGTTGAGAGAGAGAGAGAGTGGGAAGTAGAGAAGCAGTGTTTGTGAATAGTCAGAGGTTTCTTCAGTTCGGGAAGGCTGAAGGGGAAACCTTATTAGTTTTATTAGTTAGAGAAGACTAATAGAAGCTCGTTTAGATCACTAGTTAAAAGTGAACTAGAGATCTGAGGTTTGATCACGGAAGGGTCAAACAGGAAGACTATTCACCTCAGGAACCATTGTTTAATAAAGTGCTTCACCACAGCAAAGGTTATTTATAAGTTGTAACATCAGAAGACTGAACTGTATCGCAACCAAGTTATATGTAACGTTCTCCAAGTATTTTCCAAGTTTATCACCAAACTGCAACCATACGCTTTGTTTCAAAATAAACTTGTTCTCTTTGATTGTAAAACTGCCTCATCTCCATTAATTCTGCGTTTAGTGTGCCCAATCTCCCAAAATTACCTCACATCACCAAATTGGTGGCACCATTAAGGATAATAAATAATAAATCGTAACTTCTCTCTCCTGAGACCTCCCTTACCGAATTTGGGGCCCGAGCGCCTTCGCAGACTGGATGGCCTTTAGGGATCCCTTCCACCTCTAGGAGTCTATCTTATCTATGTCATCTATCTCATCTATCTATTATGGCAGAAGGAGGTTGGACTTGATGGCCTTTGAGGGTCCCCTTCCAATGGTAGGATTCCATGAAAATGTAGGAAGAGGGGAATGGGATGCCAGTACTATCCTCACATTGTATGCGCCTTGCCTCTTGTTTCTGCAGATCGCCTTGCTGAAGATCCTCTTGGCTGCAGCGCCGACCTCCAAAGCCAAGACCGACTCCATCAACATCCTGGCCGACGTCTTGCCGGAGGAAATGCCGTAAGTCATAGATGTGTAATATTTATTTGTCGTGTCAGGGCAACCAGTCAATTATATTACATTTCTAACAGAACAAAGCAAACAAGCAGACAGAATACAAAATTTGTGGGTTTGGTAGTTGATTAAATGTCCTTTGACCAGTATCTAGCCACTTGGAGTGCCTCTGGTGTTGCCGCAAGAAGGTCCTCCCTTGTGCATGTGGCAGGGCTCAGGGTGCATTGCAGCAGGTGGTCTGTGGTTTGTTCTAATCCGCACTCACATGCCGAGGATTCCACCCTGTAGCCCCATTTCTGAAGGTTAGCTCTGCATCTCGTGGTGCCAGAGCGCAGTCTGTTCAACGCCTTCCAAGTTGCCCAGTCCTCTGTGTGCCCAGGGGGGAGTCTCTCATTTGGTATCAGCCATTGGTTGAGGTTCTGGGTTTGAGCCTGCCACTTTTGGACTCTCGCTTGCTGAGGTGTTCCAGCGAGTGTCTTTATAGATCTTAGAAAACTATTTCTAGATTTAAGTCGTTGATGTGCTGGCTGATACCCAAACAAGGGATGAGCTGGATGTGTCTCTGCCTTGGTCCTTTCACTATTGGCTGCCACTTCCCGGCGGATGTCAGGTGGTGCAATACCGGCTAAGCAGTGTAATTTCTCCAGTGGTGTAGGGCGCAGACACCCTGTGATAATGCGGCATGTCTCATTAAGAGACACATCCACTGTTTTAGCGTGGTGAGATATGTTCCACACTAGGCATGCATACTCAGCAGCAGAGTAGCATAGCGCAAGGGCAGATGTCTTCACTGTATCTGATTGTGATCCCCAGGTTGTGCCAGTCAGCTTTTGTACGATATTTTTTCTAGCACCCACTTTTTGCTTGATATTCAGGCAGTGCTTCATGTAGGTCAGAGCACGGTCCAGAGTGACTCCCAGGCATTTGGGTGCGCTGCAATGCTCCAGTGGGATTCCTTTCCAGGTCATCCTCAGAGCTCGGGATGCTTGTGTGTTCTTAAGGTGAAAAGAACATATCTATGTTTTAGATGGATTAGGGATCAGCTGGTTTTCCCTGTAATAGGCAGTAAGAGCACCTAGAGCTTCAGAAAGCTTCTGTTCTACCATCTCAAAGCTCCCTGCTTGAGCGGCAATGGCACGATCATAAGCATAGATGAAACTCTCCGTCCCTTCTGGCAGTGGCTGGTCATTTGTGTAGATGTTGAACATGAATGGAGCAAGCACGCTCCCCTGAGGCAGGCCGTTCTTCTGTTTCCGCCATCTACTTATCTGGCCCTGACTGATGAGGATAAGAACTAATATCAGCAAAAGTCATTTAGTCCACTGCTTGTTCTACAATATAATAAATCAATGGAGCCCCCGGTGAGTTAAACCACTGAGCTGCTGAACTTGCTGACCGAAAGGTCGCAGGTTCGAATCCAGGGAGTGGGGTGAGCTCCCACTGCTAGCCCCAACTTCTGCCAACCTAGCAGTTCGAAAGCATGCAAATGTGAGTAGATCAATAGGTATCACTCCAGCGGAAATGTAACAGTTCTCCATGCAGTCATGCCGGCCACACTGCTTGTTCTAGTAAATACATAATATACTATAATAATTCAGTTGAGCCCTCGGTGGCGCAGTGGGTTACACCGCTGAGCTGCTGAACTTGCTGACTGAAAGGTTGCAGGTTCGAATCCTGGGTGCTGGGTGAGCTCCCACTGCTAGCCCCAGCTTCTGCCAACCTAGCAGTTCGAAAGCATGCATATGTGAGTAGATCAATAGGGACTGCTCTGGTGGGAAGATAACGGCGGTCCATGAAGTCATGCTGACCACATGACTTTGGAGGTGTCTATGGAGAACGCCAGCTCTTCCGCTTAGAAATAGAGATGAGCACCAACCTCCAGAGTCGGACACGACTCAGGGGAAAACCTTTACCTTTAACTAATCAATTAATAATAAAAGGTCATCTAGTCCACCGGCTGTTAGGAATTGTGGGAGTTGTAGTCCAAAACACCTTGAGGGCCCAAGTTTGCCTATGTTTGGTGTAGACACGCCCTTTGAGGCCTCCATTTTCTGTCTTTCCAGCATCACAGTGCTGCAGAGCATGAAGCTGGGTGTGGACGTGAACCGGCACAAAGAGATCGTGGTCAAGGGCATCTCCGCTCTGCTGCTCCTGCTCCTGAAACACTTCAAGCTCAACCACGTATATCAGGTCAGCAAATGGGAGAGGATTCTGGTTTTGGAAAACCAGAATCTCCATAACCTTTTGGAGTAAAATGGCATTCATAACCATTTGAAGATCCTAACCTTTTGGAAAAGCATCATCTTCCAGATTGAGTAGAATCTTCTCTTCAGTGGTAAACAACCACATGTACTTATGCAAGGCAATTTTGGCTTTCAGATCTTGGATATTGCATTGATCGTTTATTGATGTTTTATTTTATTGATGTTCTGCTTATTGATGTATTGCGGGCTTGGCCTCATGTGAGCCGCACCGAGCCCCTTGGGGAGATGGTAGTGAGGTACAAATAAAGTGTTGTTGTTGTTATTATTATTATTATTAGTAGTAGTAGTAGTAGTAGTAGTAGCTGTTAGGAACAGCAATTATGCGAGTGCACAAAATACAGCAGTTCTTCAGAAATGTTTCTACTTTCCCATAAAACATCCCGTTTCTGAATCATGCTCTCAAGAGACAAAAATAAAGTAGACTTCATTAAAAGCTTAAATATTTGGTTTACTCAACAACCTTCATGTACTCTGCATACAGGCGGATTACTTGTCTATCCAGTTACAGATAGGTTTTGAAGTAGTTTCTCTGCAGGTAACACAGGGCGTCTTCTTACAATCAACAGCAACATGAGTTTGCTCTTAACAGTCCAAAGTCTAAGCAGGTAAGAGACAGTCTTTAACAATCTGAGAGTCTAATGGAGTCTGAGCTCTGAGCAGTCACAGATCTGACCCTCCCGCAACCTCAAGAAACATCTCCTCCTATGTACCATCGCGGAGATTAAGATCCTCCGGGGAGGCCCTGCTTTCCATCCTGCCATTGTCATGGGGACAAGAGACAAGGCCTTCTTGGTGATGGCTCCCCGGCTATGGAACTCCCTTCCTGGTGAGTTCAGGTCAGCCCCCTCCCTCCTGTCCTTCAGAAGGATGGTAAAAATTTGGTTGTGGGACCAAGCTTTTGGGACAGGGCAATAAAACGGCAATAGGAAAGATGACCAGGCCAATTAGATTTGATGCGGATGACTAGGATGGCTTTAAATGCTGTATTTTAATGTTTTGATAAGTGTTTTTTAATGTTTATGTATTGTATGAGAAGGGTGGAATATAAATGTTTTAAATAAACAAATAAAGGGAAAACTGCATACCAAAATATAATGTTTTGTATATGCATGTTTTGGTATGCAGCTTTTCCTTTAATCTATGTTTCTTGAGGTTGTGGGAGGGGCTGAAGACTACAGGAATCTGTGACTGCTCAGAGCTCAGACTCCATTAGACTCTCAGACTGTTAAATACTGTCTCTTATCTGCTTAGAAATGCAAACAGAATCATATACAAACAAATTACTAGTGGAGGCTCAAAGGTTGCTATTTCCAACACCTACCAGCTGTTAGGAATTGTGGGAGTTGGAGTCCAAAACATCCAGAGGGAGGGCTGAAGTTGTCCTGTGCTTATATGCTCTGTTTTCAGACCTTCTTTCTAATCTTTCCAGCTACTCTTTCCTTCTCCTTGCAGTTTGAGTACGTCTCCCAGCATTTAGTCTTCGCCAACTGCATCCCGCTGATCCTGAAGTTCTTCAACCAGAACATCATGTCGTACATCACGGCCAAAAACAGGTACAGCGTGACTTGTTTCCCCCTCCAAAAAGCAGAAACAACAAGGCTGGATGACCTCTAGGGATCCCTTCAAATTCTGTTTGTAATTGTATAAAACTGATGCTTTTTTTCTCTCTTCAGCATTTCCGTCCTGGACTATCCTTTCTGCACCGTCCATGAGTTGCCGGAACTCAACGCAGAAAGCCTGGTAAGAAGAGCAAGGGTGGATGGCATATTTTGGCATCCCTGCCTCAGTTTCCCATCTGTAAAATGGACTTGATACTGCTGGCAACAAAGGGCTGTGAGGTCGGCTTGTGGAAAGCCTTTCTTTAAGCAAAGAATCCTCAAAAATATGGTCCAAAGTTCACCTGGGATTTGTGGAAGGTTCCTTGTTTTGGACTACAACTCCCAGCAGAACTGGCCTATTTGACCGGTTGGGATTATTATTATCAGACCTTTTTGACCAGTTGCGTTTAGTATTATTATTAGACCTATTCAAGTTGCGTTTAGTATTATTATTAGACCTATTCAAGTTGCGTTTAGTATTATTATTAGACCTAATCAGCCAGTTGTAGTTGTAGTTGTAGTTGTTCTTGTTGTTACTGAACCTTTTTGGGCAGTGTTTGTTGTTATTATAATATTCGCCCTATTTGACAAGTTATGGTCAACACATAGGTGAATCCCATAAATTGGATGGGACTAACAATAAAATGGAAGCCAGCTCTGTAGTGCAGAACTAATGGTATTTGGCACTGCTTTCAGTGCTGTCAGAAGTCATGGGAGTTAGAGTGTTCCCTTTGGGGAGATGGGGGGGGGGTAATAATAACAATACCAATAATAATAATAATAATAATAATAATAATAATAATATAGTGGACCCTGCCCTCTTTGGTAGAGAAAGTCAAAGACCTTGCGAAACTACAACTCCCACGATCGAGTTGCATTGATTGTCCAGTATAGATGCGCACTTAGAATTAAGTATGTTACTGTAGAGAATGCAAACAGTATTACCAAAGTCTTGTATTTCTCCATAGGGAATTGTAGCACATGGTTGATGGTCGTTTTAAAATATTATATACACACACACTAGCCGTCCCCTGCCATGTGTTGCTGAGGCCCACATGGGGGGGGGGGGTCTGTGTGGGAGGTTTGGCCCAATTCTATCATTGGTGGGGTCAGAATGCTCTGTGATTCTAGGTGAACTATCAATCCCAGCAACTACAACTCCCAAATGTCAAGATTCTATTTTCCCCCAAACTCCACCAGTGTCCACATTTGGGCATATTGAGTATTCGTGTAGAGTTTGGTCCAGATCCATCATTGTTTGAGTCCACAGTGATCTCCGGAAGGAGGTGAACTACAACTCCAAAACTTAAGGTCAATGCCCACTGAACCCTTCCAATAGTTTCTGTTGGTCATGGGAGAACTGTATGCCAAGTTTGGTTCAATTCCATCATTGGTGGAGTTCAGAATGCTCTTTGATTGTAGGTGAACTATAAATCCCAGCAACTACAACTCCCAAATGACAAAATCATTTTTTTTTTGAGTGAAGGACATACATTGGGTTGTTAGGTGTCTTGTGTCCAAATTTGGTGTCAATTCGTCCAGTGGTTTTTGAGTTCTGTTAATCCCACAAACGAGCATTACATTTATATTTATATTTATATTTATATTTATATTTATATATATATATATATATATATATATATATATATATATATATATATTCCTTCCTTCTCTTCCTTGCAGGAATCTGGGGAGAACAACCAGTTCTGTTGGAGGAACCTGTTCTCTTGCATTAACCTGCTGAGGATCCTGAACAAACTGACCAAGTGGAAGCATTCCAGGACAATGGTGAGGATTCTTGTTATCAATGTCATATCTTAATTGGTTCTATCATAAACACATGGGGAACTTTTACTGAAGTGCACAAACTTTGTTTTCATGGAAGGGACTGTTGTGACTCAACTGGAACCACATAGTGTCTCTGATGAGGATGATGGGACTCAGATTCACAGTCTGGTTCAAAATGTCCCTGTTATAGATAGTAAAGAAGCGCAGTTTCCCACAGCAAGGAATGAGAGTGTTGATACTGAAAATAGCCAGGTGCAGTTTGACTCAGAGGAGGAGGACAGTTCTTAGCCTGATAATGAGCAAAGAGGAAAACAGGCTGACACTAACGAACAGGCTGACCTTGACGAAATGGGAACCTTAGATCGGGCTGACCGTTTGGAATTCAAAGTTCGAAGGAGTGTGAGAATAGCTAACAAGAAGGAGGCCAGAGGCCAAAGAAACGCCTTCATGTTTTGCAAAGGGTATTAAACTGTGGGTTTGAGACCAAACCTTTGTCAAAACAACTTTTTGTTTAACCAAGAAGCTTGCCTTTGCCTGTCTGGATTATCTTGCACTTCTTGTGTTCATGGTTTCAGGACTTTGTCATGTTCTCTTGGGTTTTTGCTTTACTGATGCGTTTTTGGATTAATCTTCAAAGTGCTAATTTTATATTGATCTTTTGGAACATTGCCTTTGCTTTTAAGAACTTTTTACCTTTTATATTTAACTAGCCGTCCCCTGCCATGCGTTGCTGTGGCCCAGTCTGGTGATCTGGAAAATAAAGTAATGAGGAAGTGTTGGTTTCTAACACATGTAATTTCTTTCTGCTTGTGGGTAAACAGTATTTCTTGCTGTTTATTTGTCAGTGTTGATGTGGAGATTGTCTGGTTTGCCTACTCTGAAATATGCAACATATCATTGCCTTTCTTCAGGGGTCCCTTTCAAATCTATGACACTATATATCTCTGTGTGTGACTCATATCTAGTATCTATATCTATGGCTGAATAGCTCTTTATCAGGAGGACTTTGATTACGTTTTCTTGCCCTGGTGAAGGGAGTTGGACTGGATGGCCTTAAGTATTTTCTGTTGCTCATGGGGGTTCTGTATGGGAAGTTTGCCCCGATTCTGTCGTTCGTGGGGTTCAGAATGCTCTTTGATTGTAGGTGAACTGCAAATCCCAGTGACTACAACTCCCAAATGTCAAGGTCTATTTCCCCCAAACTCCACCAGTGTTCATATTTGGGTGTATTGATTACTTGTGCCAAGTTTGGTCCAGATCCATCATTGTTTGAGTCTACAGTGCTCTCTGGATGTAGGTGAACTACAACTCCGAAACTCAAGGTCAATGCCCACCAAACCCTTCCAGTATTTTCTGTTGACCAAGGGAGTCCTGTGTGCCAAGTTTGGTTCAATTCCATCGTTGGTGGGGTTCAGAATGCTCTTTGATTGTAGGTGAACTATAAATCCCAGCAACTACAACTCCCAAATGACAAAATCATAATTTTTTGAGTGATGGTCACTCCTTGTATTGTGAGACGTTTTGTTGCCAAGGTGAATCTACTCTGAGGTACATTGTGTTACAGCCGCACTTTAGCACAGCTGGTTAATCACCAGCAGCAATAGATCCTACCAATCAAAAGGTTGCCAGTTTGAAGCCTGGGTCGGAGTGAGCACTTGACCTTCATCCCGCTCACTTTCCACCTAAGCAGTTCAAAAACAGCTGTGAGCTGTGAATAGAGAAATTGGGCCCCGCTTAAGCGAGGAGGTATTTTGTGGCACCATAAAATAGAAATGCCAGAAAAATGCTGGCGATCAAAGGAAGTAAGAAGAGTCTATGATCAAGGGCTTTTTGTCACAGAGGATGGAATGACAGCACCCCCTGTGGCCAGAATCAAGCACAACCTCCATGATGCTGAAGTTGGGAAAAATGCCAACATAATAACTCTTCTTAACAGCATTGGATGTTGGCCGTGTGTGTGTTCTGTGATCTGCCCTTATTTATTTATTTATTTATTTACAGTATTTATATTCCGCCCTTCTCACCCCGCAGGGGAGTCAGGGCGGATTACAGGGTACACATATATGGCAAACATTCAATGCCAATTCTGACATATAACATATACAGACATACACAGAGGCTATTTAACTTTTTCTGGCCGCCAGGGGAGCTGTCGCTTTAATCGTCCATCTGCAACGCTGATGAAGCACTTCCGCATTCCCCGCATGCTTCCCCACTGGAATGCTTTGCTGGAGTCTTCTTTTATGGCCTCATAAATCAGTTAATTTAGCCTCCCCACACTTTAAGGCGGTACCTTATTTTCCTACTTGGCAGATGCAACTGTCTTTCGGGTTGCAAAGGTCGACAACAGGCTACACACAATTGGTTGGAAACCCACTCCAACCCGGGACTCATGACCTTTTGGTCAGAGTGATCTTAATGGAGCTGACACTCAGCCAGCTGTGCCACAATCCCTAGTGATCAAATGCTAGTGATCAAAGGAAGGAGGAAGAGTCTATGATCAAGGGCTTTTGTCACAGAGGATGGAATGACAGCACCCCCTGTGGCCGGAATCGAGCATAACCTCCAGGATGCCGAAGTTGGAAAGAAATGCCGACATAATACCTCTATCTGCTTAACAGCATTGGATGTTTGCCACGTGTGTGTCCTGTAATCTGCCCTGAATCTTTTTTGGGAAGAGAAGGGTGGAATATAAATGCTGCAAATAAATAAATTTTGCAATAGTTTTGCAATAGTTTTGCATTATCGAGTCTCAACCCATTCAGCATCATTTGTGACACATAAATTTTCTGGAGTAGAGCAACTACTTTCACAGTCAGGACCTACTGGATGTTAGGATTTGGGGGAGTTGGGAGTCCAAAACACCTGGAGGGATAAGTTCCCTAACCTGTGTTTCCAATCCTCCAAAGAATAACTGTTGTTTCGAACTTACCTGGGTTGGGTTTTGTTGAAATGATTCCGCCTTACCGTTGCTTCCTTTTTGTGCTTTTTGGGCAGATGCTGGTGGTGTTCAAGTCGGCCCCGATCCTGAAGCGTGCGCTGAAGGTGAAGCAGGCCATGCTGCAGCTCTACGTCCTGAAGCTGCTCAAGATCCAGACCAAGTACCTGGGCCGCCAATGGAGGAAGAGCAACATGAAGACCATGTCCGCCATCTACCAGAAAGTGCGCCACCGCATGAATGACGACTGGGCCTATGGCAACGGTGGGTGCCTTTTTGCTCTCTAAAAGAAAAGTTCCTAAGAAAATGCTGCACTATCATCATCATCCATCATTGTTATTATTATCCCAATTGCATCTCACATTCGACTCCAGTTTTTCCGTGAATATCTATCTGATCATTAATTACAGCAAGACAAATGAATATAGTAAATGATACAACACAGACAATACTCATGTATCAATAACTGTCTCTTCCTGAGATGCCACATAACCCCAATCTGATTGCAGCTGCATTGGTTACCAATTGAGCACCGGATCACTTTCAAAGGGATGGTACTCACCTTGAAGGCCTTGCATGGTCTGGGGCCGATGTACCTGAGGGACCGCCTCACCCCCTACCAACCCCAGAGATCCCTCCGTTCTGAGGACCAAGATCTATTGGAAATTCCCAGTGTCAAGACCTTGCATCTAACAGCAACCAGCCTTCACAGCAGTGGCACCATCGCTCTGGAATACTCTGCCACCTGAAGTCCGTGCCTTGCGGGACTTATCAACTTTCCGCAGGGCATGTGAGACATACCTGTTTTGACAGGCTTTTAATGTTTGATATTGCTGTTTTTAAATTGTTTTAAATTGCTTTTAAATTTTGTTAGTTTTTGGCCATTCTTGTAAGCCGCTCCGAGCCCCAGGGAAGTGGCGGCATATACGTTCGAATAATAAATAAATGAATAAATAAATAGCACAATAGTGCAATCATAAATTGTCATAATACCAGAGGAGGAACACCTCTGACCTTAAACACCAGACCAGCTTGGTAAAATCAGCAAGCAGTTTATTGAAAAAAATATGTAGGCAAAGCAGTAAAAAAATAGCAAAACCAGTAAAGATCCCATATAAGAAATAGTCCATGCGTTACAGGTTTTTCAAGCTGTATGGCCATGTTCTAGAAGCATTCTCTCCTGACGTTTCACCTGCATTTATGGCAGGCATACTCAGATTTCCTCACAACCTTTGAGGATGCCTGCCATAAATGCAGGTGAAATGTCAGGAGAGAATAATAATAATAATAATAATAATAATAATAATAATAATAATAACAACACTTTATTTATACCCCGCTACCATCTCCCCAAGGGACTCGGTGCGGCTTACGTGAGGCCGAGCCCAAGCACAACAATACAAGCAATAACAACAACAAAACAAGCAATTAAAAATAAAAACATGGACAATATAATAATGCAACATTAACAATGAGACCACACGATTAAAACTGTGGGAAGGCCAAATGTAAAGTTAAAATTGAAAATAATGCTGGAACATGGGCGAAAAACTGATGAGGCGTTTGTGGAAAACATACAAGCAGACCTAAGAAATGTAAAGTGCTTTGGAGGACAAAGTGCTATGGAATCATTATTCTGGGAAGGCATTATTCTGGGAACATGTTCTAGAGAATGCTTCTAGAACATGGCCATACAGACCAATAACCTACAACAACTCAGTGACTCCAGCCATGAAAGCCTTCAACAATAGTCCATGAGCTTCAGAGGAAAACAAGATCCAAGAGTACATCAAACATCAATGAAACTAGGCACTTGAATCCATGAAACAAGACAGCAGGAAAATCTCATAGACAAATCTTGAGCTTGGCAAAAACTTGGTACATAAAACTCTGTGCACTTGAAAGCAAGACCATGATAAAATAACAGTGTTGACCCGACTGAGGCAACTCTTTCCCATGAGTCATTATAAAGCTTTTTCAAATCCCAAAACTAAAATGAAAGCATTATTATTATTTATTTATTTGCAGCTTTTATATTCCGCCCTTCTCACCCCGCAGGGGACTCAGGGCGGATTACAGTGTACACATATATGGCAAACATTCAATGCCAATTTTGACATACAACATAGACAGACATAGACAGAGGCTACTTAACTTTTTCTGGCCGCCAGGGCAGCTGTCGCTTTCATCGTCTATCTGCGACACTGATTTTTGACCTTTCCACAGTCAAAAATCCACGGTCAAAATAACGGTTTGTTATCTCTCTTTTGCTGTAGCTGAACTGATCCTCTCACCCTCTGAAGACTTTTCCCCTGTTTACTAAAACTTTGCTTTCTGTCCAAGCTTTCATTATCCCTCATTAACTCCTGACAAATCGTGTTCAAAGCGGTAAAGGGCCTCTCTCAAGAATGTGGCCTTGTGAATCTTCCTGAAACAGCTCAGACCTCTCTTCTGAACTTAACTCAGGGCTAGGTTTGAACAACTCGGTATTGTGATGCAAACCGGGCGCTACTATAACATCCCAAGAAGTGAGAGATTCTACATTTGGGGAGAACAAACAGTGGAAGATATGGATCATTTCTTAATTGACTGTCCAGCATATACTGAACTGCGAGACAGATATTTACATCCAATATTATCCAACTGCAGGTCCCCCAACAGAAATGATATTCTGACATCCCTCTTGCAAGGGCAGGAAAGATCCAGCATAATCAGAGTAAGCCTTTTTATTCTGAAAGCTATTAAGAAAAGAGCAGATTTCCTGGAAGAAGAACCAGGAAAATAAGATTCTGACTATAAATAGAAGGTCAGCTGCTGTCCTCACCTTTTTGCCTTGTTTTTTACTCGTGTTCTATTTTAAAATGGTCATATGACTGGTCAAATAAATATTATTATTACTATCTTCCTCTGGCCACTGAGTAACAGACAGATAGCAAGACACAGATCCATCATGTCTCATTGATTACCTCTCACTGTAAGCCAGAGGGCAAATTAATAATTTGTAAGCCACTCTGAGAATCTTTGTGACTGAAGAGCAGGTTATAGATAATCCAAATAAATAGAAACTTAACTCAGACCCAAGCAGACCCTCATCCCCAGGCCCATCATCATGAACATCATCCCCATTCCCATCATGAACATCAACTTGGAAAGCAAGACCGTGATAAAATTACAACGTTGACCTGACTGAGGCAACTCTATCCCATGAATCATTATAAAGCTTTTTCAAATCCCAAAACTGAAAGGAAAGCATTTTTTCTTGACCTTCCCACCAGATAACAGTTTATCTCTCTTTTGCTGTAGCTGTAATTATCATCTCGCCCTCTGAAGACGTTGCCCCTGTTTACTAAAACTGCTTTCTGTCCAAGCTTTCATTATCCCTCATTAACTCTTGACAAATTGTGTTCAGACACTTGTTCTGAGAAAAGCTGCAAAGGGCCTCTCTCAAGAATGTGGCCTTGCGAATCTTCCTGAAACAGCTCAGAACTCTCTTCTGGACTTAACTCAGACCCAAGCAAACCCACATCCCCAGGTCCATCATGAACATCAACATGAACACCAGACACAATCACAGGCTGACACACAACATAAACACTTGGAATATCGTGTCCAATTCTGGGCACCACAATTGAAGAGAGATATTGGTAAGCTGGAAAGTGTCCAGAGGAGGGGGACTAAAATGATCAAGGATCTGGAGAACAAGCCCTATGAGGAGTGGCTTAAAGAGCTGGGCATGTTTAGCCTGAAGAAGAGAAGGCTAAGAGGAGATATGATGTTGTTCATTCGTTCAGTTGTCTCCGACTCTTCGTGACCTCGTGGACCAGCCCACGCCAGAGCTCCCTGTCGGCCGTCACCACCCCCAGCTCCTTCAAGGTCAGTCCAGTCACTTCAAGGATGCCATCCATCCATCTTGCCCTTGGTCGGCCCCTCTTCCTTTTGCCTTCCACTCCAATGTTTCTAATTTTCTGGAAGAGGGAGATATGATAGCCATGTATAAATATGTGAGAGGAAAGGAGCTTCCATCTGATCATTAGGAAGAACTTCCTGACTGTGAGAGCCATTCAGCAGTGGAACTCTCTGCCCCGGAGTGTGGTTGAGGCTCCTCCTTTGGAAGCTTTTAAAAAGAGGCTGGATGACCATCTGTCGGGGATGCTTTGAATGCAATTTTCCTGCTTGGCAGAATGGAGTTGGACTGGATGACCCATGAGGTCTCTTCCAACTCTAGGATTCTATGATTTAGACTATTTAACTCTTTATGTGTGTATGTGTGTGTGTGCACATGCCGTTTGAAAACACTCAATTCATATGATCAGGGTATCCAGTATTATAAATTCTAGTTCTAATAACCATTTAAAGTTCTGGGTTGTTGTGGGTTTTTCCGGGCTATATGGCCATGTTCTGGAGGCAATTTTTCTCCTGACGTTTCGCCTGCATCTATGGCAAGCATCCTCAGAGGTAGTGAGGTCATTGGAAGGAATTGCCACTATAGTCATTCCACAGATATATAAACCCATTTTTCCTACTTCCAACAGACCTCACTACCTCTGAGGATGCTTGCCATAGATGCAGGCGAAACGTCAGGAGAAAAATTGCCTCCAGAACATGGCCATATAGCCCGGAAAAACCCACAACAACCCAGTGATTCTGGCCATGAAAGCCTTCGACAATACATTTAAAGTTCTGTCCAATAAGGTGGTTGATAGTCTTAGCCATTATCAAAATCCTGCTGAAATAGCCAGGTTTTCAACTCCTTCCTGAAAGCTATGAGGGTGGGTGCTTGTCTAGTCTCCTTGGGGAGGGCATTCCAGAGTCAAGAAGAGTGAGCATTTAGATTACAATAAATGCAGGCATTTTGGAAAAGGACCTTACTTGGTGTCCTCCTCCTCTGCCCCATTTTGCAGACATTGACGCCCGGCCGTGGGACTTCCAGGCGGAGGAGTGCACCTTGCGCGCCAATATCGAGGCCTTCAACGCCCGGCGCTACGACCGGCCGCGGGACTCTGAGTTCTCCCCGGTGGACAACTGCCTGCAGAGCGTCCTGGGCCAGCCGCTGGACCTCCCGGAGGACTTCCACTACTCCTACGAACTCTGGCTGGAGAGGGAGGTCTTCTCGCAGCCCATCCGCTGGGAAGAGCTGCTCTGCTACCAGGGGTAGTGAGCGAGCATGCATGGCGGGGCGCATTTGCAACTGAATGCCGCCCCAAGTCTTCCCAAACCATTGGTGCTGTATCTCTTTGGGGTGTTGGGGTGGAAAAGGGGGTCCTTCCCTATCTGAAAGGTCGACCAAAAGTGGAAATGTTAGCCAACTTCAATGCAATGCCTTCCCGACGCCCGTCTTTCCCAGTCCCTTTGATCTACTGTAAACTATGCTTTGTCGTTTTGGAACAGTATACTTTCTAAAATATTTACATTTCCTTCTATGGTTGCCTTCGTTGTCACGGTATTTGCCACATTTTCCCCAAATACTGAGTTTTATACCTGGATCCCGAGCGCTTTTTCCATTCTTATGGATTTTGCCAGGTTCATACAAAGTTTGCAAGTATTAGAGACTTCATGCACCTGTAGGTTATCTCATTTTATGGAAGAAATTCTGCAGAGAGAGAGAGAAAATACTTTTATTTGTTTCTATTATAACTGTGTTTGAACAAGTGTGCAAGAAAGAGAGTGAATGCCTCCCTCCACTATAAGCAATTTTTGGCAATTTTTCTCCACTTTTGCATATTAGCCTTTGTCGTCATGGCGTGTGCCATATTTTCCTCCAAATATTGAGTCCCTGAGCAGAACAGCATATTCTCAAATCTGATTTATTATTATTTACAGATATGCACCTTTTATTGCTGAGCAAAAGGGTCCTTTGGACTCTTAATAAAGTATTAATTGATTTTGCAGGGATTTCCAATTCTAAAAGCTCTGCGGTTTTATAGGAATCAGTTTGCAGGTATCAAAAGACTCCATGCATCTGTAGATTATAATAGTTTCCTGTGTGGGATTTTGCAAAGAGAGACAAAATATTAGTATTAAATAGTATTAAAAATAGTATTAAAAAACTCTAAAATTGCAACAGCACAACAACAGAGAGGAAACCAACAAGGATATCTAATTACCTCTCAACAAAAGTTTGCCCCAGGCACAGTCAGGCCATTGTATGCTAATCAAGGTGGTCAGTTGACACATTCACACCTAGCTCCAGCAGACAAGAGTCCTTTGTCCCACCCTGGTCATTCCACAGATATATAAACCCCCTTTCCTAGTTCCAACAGACCTCACTACCTCTGAGGATGCTTGCCATAGATGCAGGCGAAACGTCAGGAGAGAATGCCTCTAGACCATGGCCATGTAGCCCAAAAAAACCTACAACCCAGAAACAAAATACTTTCAAGTTTTGTTTATTATTATTATTATTATTATTATTATTACTACTACTACTACTACTATATTTGATGAATTCCTGCATCCACTGTTATCAATTTTGAGTAATTTTTCTTGATTCATTCTCCACTTTTGCATATTAGAAGAATTGCTTTGTTTCTCAGTTCTTGTGGGTTTTTTCGGGCTATATGGCCATGTTCTAGAAGCATTTCTCCTGACGTTTCGCCTGCATCTATGGCAAGCTTCCTCAGAGGTGAGGTCTGCTTTGTTTGTTTGTTTACCCATCATCTCAGTGAGATTTTTGTACTTTACGAAACCTGTCTCCAAACGGTATTCTTCCCTTCTTTTAAGGCTGCATTTCTATGATGGAGAACGGGCCAAAAATTCAAGTTCAGTGGCCCAAAAGGAAACTAAACCCTGTTCTAACATGCCTAAGCAGAAATCTAATGTGTGAATGAATGTGTGTGTTATGTACGAGAGACATTTGCACTGGCGAAAATGTGCAACACTACAAGGCCTTCTCTGATACGAAATGTAAATAACAGTAAGACGCTTTCCATTTAAGATCCGGCTATTCTTTCCCTTCTCCCTTCCATCCGTTCTACCTCTTTAAAAGGCACAAAATGTTGAGGTAACATACCAGCTATTTATATAAAGACAGTGTGTGTATATATATATATATACACACACACACACACACACCAGCCAGATGTGTGGACTTTTTATGCCAAAAATTGTTCCATGGGAGACAGCGATAACAATACTAATCTCCTCTCAGAGCAGGCATGGCCAAACTTGGGTCCTCCGGGTGTTTTGGACTCCCAACTAGTTTGCTCTCAACACTCCAAAGTCTAAGCAGGTAAGAGACAATCCTTAACAGTCTGAGAGTCTAATGGAGTCTAAGCTCTGAGCAGTCACAGATCTGTGGTCTACAGCCCCTCCCGCAACCTTAAGAAATGTAGAGTAAAGGGAAAGCTGCATACCAAAATATACTGTTTGAGTAAAATTCCTGATTGAGTAAAATCTTCTCTTCAGTGGTAAACAACCACATGTACTTCTGCAAGGAAGTTTTGGCTTTCAATTCTTAGACTGATAAGCTGGTTATCTTTTAGGAACAGCGATTATGCCAATGCACAAAATACAGCAGTTCTTCAGAAATGTTTCTACTTTCCCATAAAAAATCCTGTTTCTGTATCAAGGTCTCAAGAGACAAAAATAATGTAGACTTCATTAAAAGGATAAATATTTGGTTTACTCAACAACCTTCATGTACTCTGCATACAGGTGGATAACTTGTCAGTCCAGTTACAGATATGTTTTGAAGTAGTTTCTCTGCAGGTATCACAGGGCATCTTCTTACAGGCAACAGCAACATGAGTTTGTTCTTAACAATCCCAAGTCTAAGCAGGTAAGAGTCTAATGGAGTCTGAGCTCTGAGCAGTCACAGATCTGTGGTCTACAGCCTCTCCCGCAACCTCAAGAAACATAGAGTAAAGGGGAAAGCTGCATACCAAAATATACTGTTTTGTATATGTATGTTTTGGTATGCAGCTTTCCCTTTACTCGATGTTATGTGTGTTTTGTATATGTATGTTTTGGTATGCAGCTTTCCCTTTACTCGATGTTTCTTGAGGTTGTGGGAGGGGCTGTAGACCACAGGATTAGATCTGGGACTGGGTTGTTGTAGGGTTTTTCGGGCTATATGGCCATTGTCTAGAGCAGTGGTTCTCAACCTGGGGTCCCCAGATGTTTTGGAGAGAATGCCTCTAGACCATGGCCATATAGCCCGAAAAACCCTACAACAACCCAGTGATTCCGGCCATGAAAGCCTTCGACAGATCTGGGACTGCTCAGAGCTCAGACTCCTTTAGACTCTCAGACTGTTAAAAGACTGTCTCTTGTCTGCTTAGATCTGGAAACAGAATAATATACAAACAAATTACTAGTGGAGGCTTGAAAAAGGTTGCTATTTCCAACACAGTTAGGAATTGTGGGAGTTGAAGTCCAAAACACCTGGAAGGCCCAAGTTTGCCCATGCCTGCCTCATAGCTTGGGGCAGGGCACAGCTACCATTTATCATAATACATAATAAAATACATTAAATTAAAACATATGCATGCAATCACCCCTAATAAACATATGCATTCTTCCAAAGGCACACAAATTAACCTGGTATCTTTGAAGTTGCAAATGTGAGACATATGTAAGCCTTTTTGCTGAACATGGAAATACAAGTTCCTTATCTTTTCTGGGGAGATGGCTCATGTTTTTTTGGAGGGGGGTTTTATTACAAATACTTATTATTATTTTATTGTAGCAGCATGTTGTACGACCAATACTGCGCATCAGTTTGCGCCTGTTTATAAAAGGATACGCACAAAAATACGTAAGAATGTTTTGTTTCCCCCCCAACGTGAGTTGTATTGATAAATCCTCCTTCTAGGAAATGGCCATATTAACCCACTTCTAAAGCACAGCTTTATAACCAAGAATAAAAGTTACTTTTAAAGCGTAATTATGACTCTTGTGCATTGAATTATTTGTGTCGGAAATAAAATCCTAATTCAGCACAGAGTGGACCATTAATTCATGTGGACCATGCCTTCTGGGTCTTATCTGTTACCCACTATGTGCTAAGAATTCCTCTTTTATGCAGACAGAATGGGGAATTTTTATGCTCCTATAAGAACTTCTTAAATAGATGAATATATTTCATATATTTAATTCAGTGTTATTATTATTATGTTTGCTCAAGAGGAGTGCCAGTTTGCATTGGGTGAAGACAACAAGATTTCGACACTTGGCAAGCCTGCTTTTTGAGCATTATTAATGGGCAAGAGAACATCTGTTGCAACTCAGAGTAAGCTTCGCCTTGCTTCCGAACACCACTACACAAGAGCTATAGTTTTATAGTTTATTGAGGAAAAAGTCTTAAGTCAAAATAAAGAATAAGCATTGCAAAGTTCCAAAGATTTAGGTTAAATGCAGAATATAGTTCCAAAGATCTTAAGGTAAAAACAAGAGGCACAATCTTATAGGCAAAGTTCAAAACAGAGTCCATGGTACAAGCAATGTAACAATTGCCCCAAGAATCACAATGCAAGAAATCCCAAGCGTGCTGCTTTCCAGCTAAGTTTATTCCATGAAGCTTTCAGGCTAACAAGCTACGTTGAACTGACACTTTCTCTTCGTTTGCAAGAAGCCTAAATACCTTTCTAACATGAAAACATTATGCTCTCACCAACATGAAAGCATTGCGATGACCTTTCCCCGAGCTGGCTTCATGTCTGCCGGCCAGGCGAGAACTCTGCCTGACCCGCACATGAAGACAGGCTTGCCGGGTCAGGTTACTATCAAGGCTTTCTGCACTTTCACTATCAGCGTGGGAAGGCAAAGGCCTCCACCTGTTCGCTATCTACTTCGTTAAGATTCCTTTCTTCTGAGAACTGCTGTGTTGACTCTACACTGTCTGTGGGAGCCTCAGAAAAAGACCTAGAAGTAGGCCCAGCGATCTGAGGCACAGAAAAAGAGCCAGGAATCTGAATCCCATCATCCTCATCATCAGAAAACATCTCAGCCACAACCACAACCAGAACTCCAAAACCATAAAAAAATAACTCCATAATTAACATTTGCATTTTTCTGAAAGTTCAGTGAACACAGGCTTATTAAAAATATTGAAAATTGGATGGTAAAGGTTCCAGAAGAAAAGATATAGAATAAATATATTGCTGAAACAATCCTTAAATATATAGGTGATCACACATCTATATAAATAAAAATGTAATGTTCATTTGTGGGATTAACATAACTCAAAAACCACTGGATGAATTGACACAAAATTTAGGCACAAGACACCTCTCAGGGCAAGGAGTGACCATCACTCATAAAAACACTGAAAACACAGAGGAAGGGACTTTAAAAGCCAAAAAAAATAATAATTAAAAATGCATTGCAACCCATGCACAATATACACACACAAAGCACGTATACACAGACTGGGCCACAGCAACACGTGGCAGGGGATAGCTAGTATTTATATAAATAAAAATGTAATGTTCGTTTGTGGGATTAACATAACTCAAAAACCACTGGACAAATTGACACCAAATTTGGACACAATACACCTATCTGGTGACACCCTGTCGGCTGTCACCACCCCCAGGGTCTCCTTCAAGGTCAGTCCAGTCACTTCAAGGATGCCATCCATCCATCTTGCCCTTGGTCGGCCCCTCTTCCTTTTGCCTTCCACTTTCCCAGCATCATAATTGTCTTCTCTAGGCTTTGCTGTCTCCTCATGATGTGGCCAAAGTACTTCAGCTTTGTCTCTAGTCTCCTTCCCTCCAATTAGCACTTGGGCTTTCTTTCCTGAAGTATGGACTGGTTGGATCTTCTCGCAGTCCAAGGCACTCTCAGCACTTTCCTCCAACACCACAGTTCAAAAGCATCTATCTTCCTTCGCTCAGCCTTCCCTAAGGTCCAGCTCTCACATCGTAGGTTACTACAGGGAATACCATGGCTTTAACTATGCGGATCTTTGTTGCCAGTCTGATGTCTCTGATGGCGAGAGCCCCCGCCATGTAATTGGTCTGCACTGCGGCAGGGAGTTCCGCAGTTCCCAGTGGTCACCAAGGGAGAAAACGGATGAGATGTGCCCCAGCCAGCAGCTCAAAGCAAAGGACTGCATGAAGCTTTCTTTCACTTTCCCCTCTCCCTCTCTTTGTAACCAATCCCCCAATAAAACACTTAAGTTTTGAAACTTTGAATCCTTTCCGCTTGATACTTTGTGTCCTTTTCCTGGCTGCAACTTTTCTAACTGCTATCCTGGTTTTCTCATTTTGGACTCCTGCACTCGTGAAATAATTGTTTTTGTTTAATCATTAAATTCGGCCGAGTCACCAGCATGGTTCCCGCCGCCTGCGATCCGCCACGATTGCCCCAGGAGAAGCCTTGGAAGTGGGGACCGGGCAGGGAAGGCCCGATCCCCGGTTGGGAGCGCTAGTTCCACCAAGGGCAGGACAGCGGAACATAGCTCCCCCTTAGCTCCAGCTCCTGTTTCAATAATGAACTGATCTTCTGATGGCCAGCCTAAGCCATAGGCTGGCCCCTGCCTCCAGAAAACCCTCCGTCTAGGCTTTTGGGATTTCTAGACTTTCTTTACCTTTTTATGAAATGAAATAAAATAAAATACTTTCCTATGGATGGGGATTGGGATGGGTGGTGGGTTGTGGTGTATGAAATGCCTGTATATTAATGATGCCTGTACTTTATGAATATGAAATATGTACCCCTATGGACTCCACTGTACCTTTTCCTCTTTGTCCCCTTGCCCCACAAAGAAGACCAGCGTGACCAGGAACTGCCTGGGGGAAAAGCCCAAGCCTTTTTCCCCTAAATCACCCTTGATTGACTCATTTTGCATGGACAATGCTGCTGGCCCCCCAATTTCGTCTTCGGAGCAAGGCCAACGAAGGAGGACAGGGTCAGCAGAGCCTCGGAATAAAAGACTGATTGATTCACTCAGGAATTGTTGATCCTCCGGGCGGTCCGATTTCGACCCAGCTATTCATATCACTTGCCAGACCCATTAAGGACAGGAAAGCCTTTGTTTGACAAACATCACCTGGGACAATGGCCCGCATTCCAGCGGGCAGGAAATCCCAAATCCCATCATCTTTCCCCCATTGTCAGTGGCTGTCCCGCCTCCTGGCTCCTGATTGGCCAGGACCCAGGAAGCGAGCGGAGGGCGCCCATTGGCCCTCCCGAGGCGGAGAATCGCTCCCATTGGCTCCTGACGGAGGAGGGCGGGATTACCTCCTCCCAGCTGTTCCAGCCTCAGCCAATCAGCATGAAGCCGGCTGACAGGGGGGCGGGCGGGATTTTCAAACTGCTTTTCTTTGTTCTTCACTGTATAAAAGTGCCTGTAAACTCTTGTGCTGCATGCTCTGCAGTGGAATGATCCCTGTATTGCATCCATTCAGCTGAATCGCAAATAAACGCCTCGGTCGCTGGACTCCTTTCGCCTGGTGAGATTATTTGATTTTAATAACTTTTAGCGCTCTTGGATTGGCTTCCGGAAAAATCTCGCCAAGGTACCCAGGACCCTTTTTGGTGCGGTCCTTGGACTAGGCGGATCTTGGTTGCCAGTCTGATGTCTCTACTCTTCACTATTTTATCGAGACTGGACATTGCTCTCCTCCCAAGAAGGAAGCGTCTTCTGATTTCCTGGCCACAGTCTGCATCTGCACTCATCTTTGCGCCTAGAAATACAAACCCTGTCACGGCCTCCGTTTTCTCCCTCTATTTCCCAGTTGTCAATCATTCTTGTTGCCATAATCTTGGTTTTTTTGATGTTTAGCTGCAACCCGGCTTTTGCGCTTTCTTCTTTCACCTTGATTAGAAGGCTCCTCAGCTCCTCGCTTTCGGCCATCAAAGTGGTGTCATCTGCATATCTAAGGTTGTTAATGTTTCTTCCAGCAATTTTCACCCCAGCTTTGCATTCATCAAGCCCCGCACA